CACCAAGAGGAAAGATCCTCATTTTCAGCCGATACAAAGGGAACATGCCCAAAGTGAGCACGAACTCCAAGAGAGAGGATCTGAATTAAATCCCAAGCAATATGCACGGCTGACAGCCTGCAGCAGCGCCAGAAATGAAACCAGCTCAGACTAAGGGCAGATCTTCCACCTCAGGTTTCCTTCTCCTCTCTGAAGCAGTCCCATCCCACCCAGCAGAGCAAATTGCCTCCTCCAGAAATCTCAAGCACTGTTTCTCCATGCCGTCCTGATAAAACCCAGCCCTCCAAAGCTTGCTCTTGCTGCCAGCTCCTGAAGAAATTCTCAACCAGTGAAACCAGAGTCTACACCCAAACCTACACCATCCTTTTGAGAGGCAAAAGCCCCGTTGCTCTCCCTCTTCCTTACTACTGTCTCACTCCCACGAGCATCCTTATGGTTCAATGGTTTAGCTGTCACGTAAAAAACTAGGGCAGTTGTAGCTCCACGGGTTTTTCTCTAAGCTGCACCAAATCCACAGGGCTAAGCAGGAAAGCTGAGAGCAGCAGAGCACATGGCTAACACCCAGGCAGGCACCGTTTGGAAACCAGACAGCTTAAGGCTTAACTCCATGCTAGGAGCTGCATCAGGCTGGTATGGTCAAGGTGCACCGCCTGCTACAAGGCAATGGCTTATGATACCATCATCCGTTTGGCTCTCTTCATCTGTTATGGCCCCAGCCTGAATGATCCAGGATCTAATTAAACACTTAGGAAACCATCAAAAAATGCCAGAATCTTGAACTCAGGCTTCTTAATTTTGGTGTTGAACTACTTTAACCCTTCTGCTGCCAAACTATAAAAGGGTTAAAAACCGCTGGTTTAAAATTAAACCACTTGACGGAAGCCAGGCTGGACTTTTAAACCATTAAGCAAACACTTTTCCACCTCAAACAGGAGGCGGCGTGAAACCAGGGTGCTTGTTTTGTCCTCGGTGTGCCCTGGCTCACACGCAGCTGGCCCCACACGCTGCATTTACCTTGACGAGGCGAAATGCTCGCCAGTGACAGCACGGGCTCTCTGGGCTGGGACGAGCAAATGCATGCTGCACCTCCACCACACGGAAAAGGCTGCTGGGCAAAGCCCAAGCCGGCACGCTTCCCACCAGGTCCATGACGGACAGCCCAAGCAGCCCCATTAGGAGCCTCGTGCCGAGCTGCGAGTCACAAACACGCGAGCCCGGGGCGGTAGGTGAGCCAAGCGCTGTTTACTCTGCAAAGCCCAGCTGTTAAACCTGCGACTAGGACCATTACAAAATTATTTTTCCCTCTACCAGGCTGAGGTTTGACATCGCTCACACACAGCGAGCAGAGGCGAGGGATACTGCTGCCATGGTTTGTCATATTGAAAAGTAAATACAGCCAATTCCTCTCCCAAACACTCTTCCCAGAGGCAGGCTTCGACACTTGCAAGCAGCTTTGCTCCATTTCCTTCTGCGAAGAGCATACCAGTGGTTTCAAAGCACTGGCTTTGGAAACACAGACAGCTATTACGAGGCTTTGGTTAAATTAATTAATTGCCTGAAAAAAGCTCCTTACACCACTTGTCTGAGGACTGCAACGTGCCATGTTTATTACCAGCGTTTCAACGATTCCACAGAAGACATTCAAACCCCTACGCAGAAATACATTTAAGCTCCAGTCATTTCAGGCTCACTCATCACTGCCGTGAACACACATCGGATTATAAACCTACCATATGATACGGTACAATCTAGTTCTGTTTTGCAGGAACTGAAAAGCCTTCCCAAGTAAAACCCTTTTATTTTTTAGGTTAGAACCTCTTTCAGTAGTTTTTTTTCCTTATGTCTCTTAATGACAAAGCCCCCCACTTTTCACACTGTAATAAAAGACCTGCAAAGAACTAACAAACTGGGCATATAAAAGGCAAACGTTACCCTAGAAGTATGTCTCCAAGCCTCATGGAGGTAACAATTACGTCAGTGAAGAACAAAGCACAAGAATACTGTTTGGCACGTGTTACCTGCTGCACCTTCCCCCGTGGAGCATGGGTCCAGATCGGCGACACGATTTGGAAAACAACAGCGCTTGGGTTTAAGGTAGAAGGGAACTTAGGAGGCTCCAAGCACTTTTGGCAATAACAGAAGCTGTATTATTACCTAATAAGAGAAGTCTTGATCAGAGTAAAATCTTTACGCTTGTGTACCAAGAGGCTGTTCAAATCGTGACATGTCCAAGCAGTTCTTAGTCCACTAAGGGCTGGAGCAGCTCCTATGCCACAGCCTCCAGGACAGAGTACCAGCCGCCCCGTACACTGTGCTGACATTCACCCGCTTCGTTGTCCAGCCGAGGATAGCCGACATTCACACTGATGATATTCCAACAGTTAACATTTTCCCTTTTTTTTTAATTAAAAAAAAAAAGCCTATCCTAAAACCCAACCCTACAAGAAGTGCTACATTAAATTCTGTTCCACAGTATGACAAGGGGGTGGATGGAGTATTTTTTACTGCAACTTCTCAGCCAAGCGAATACAAGAGAGAAGATCACTATTCCAAGATATTTAATAAGAAGAAATTACAGATTGAGAGTCCTCCGGGCACATGAAGTTCAGCTAATGCACGGCTCTAGACTGGGTCACTTCTTACAAACAATATTACAATTTTTTGCTTTAGCGTGGACACGTTGGACTAACACAAACCACAAAATACTGAATCAGATGCAACAGCTAGAGCTAAAAACCACAACAATAAAAAGTATGGCACAAAGAATGCTAAACTAAACGACGTGTAATTAGTATTTACTTTTGGCAATCCTGGTTTGGACTAATTCAGTGTAGAGATTTGTTCCCAGTCAGCACCAGGTTCAGTTAACATACATTTTGTGCAAAGTGTACTTTGAAATTCATTGAAATAATTAGTTGTGTAAACGTATCTTCCTTTCACAGTGAAACAACAGTGATTTGGGTATTGGAGACAAACAAGAGAACCCCAGACAATATTTTATTTCACAGTACACAATGTATGTATATATAATCGCCAAATTCAGCAAGTAGGTAAAGTGCATGCCAGTAACAACTTGGACTGTAAATGAAGAACTTGCAGTGCAGAAGTACACTTTATTCCAATACTAACAAACTAATATGTAGTAATACAAAACAAGGTAGAGTAACTTCTTGAAAACAACATACTCTACGTGATTTACTGCACCTTTCTTTAAAAGGTAGGCTGAATTACTCTGAAACAGGAAAATTTCACATTGACTATCAGTAGAATAAACAGTTCAAAGCTTCACTAGTTAAAAATATTGCACCAAAAGTGTCGTACTTGAAAGCAATACAAGAAGAATTTTTTAATATAAAAACACTTAAAAAAAAAAAAAGACATATTACAACAGCTACTTTGAACTAAAATAGCTGGTAAACTGTAGGAATTGATGAAATGGGAGTTCTCTGCCACAGGTGATAGATACATGGATTACCTGGAATCTCTCCTATATAGTATCGAGTAAGATGGGAGGGGAAAAGGTGTCCACTGTCCTGCAGTCTCGATGGAGCCAACTGTAAACTCAACAAAACCTATTACGACAACAATTGACAGTATTCCCTTTTATTTTAGAAATACAGGTCTACAAGAAGTCTTGAAATGCTTCACCACCAGTTAGTGCAACTAAATGAAAGCCACAAGATAGATGGATGTACCACGACTACCAAATGTTATACAGATGTCTACAGCTCCGACCATAGGCTCCTCGGCCTGTGAATCTGGAGTAGACACACAAAAAACCCACATGATGCTCCCCACGACCCACGAATCATAGAATCATAGAATCATTAAGGTGGAAGAGACCTCCAAGATCATCGAGTCCAACCGTCAACCCAACACCACCATGCCCACTAAACCATGTCCCTAAGCGCCTCATCTACCCGTCTTTTAAATACCTCCAGGGATGGTGACTCAACCCCTTCCCTGGGCAGCCTGTTCCAATGTTTAACCACTCTTTCAGTAAAGACATTTTTCCTCATGTCCAATCTAAACCTCCCCTGGCACAACTTGAGGCCGTTTCCTCTCGTCCTGTCGCTTGTTACTTGGGAGAAGAGACCGACCCCCACCTCGCTACAGCCTCCTTTCAGGTGGTTGTAGAGAGCGATGAGGTCTCCCCTCAGCCTCCTTTTCTCCAGGCTAAGTTCCCATTTAGAGAGTCGGAGACGAATGGTAGGGAAATCCTTGGAAAACGAAGGACAGGGAAGCAAAGGGACAAGGGACCTTCCACTAACATCCACCAGAGATGTGGCGGCCCAGATCCAGCATGGTGTTTAGGGACCACACTAAGTGAACACTCTGTTCATGACGCTCTGAGAACGCTGCATCCCATGTCAGGCTCTTCCCAAAACTGTAAAACCACTGTGTGCAAGCGAGGGATGCAAACGGTGAACTCCACGAACTGAATAAATTTGCCCGTGAAGAAAATCACTTTCTCCACTCCAAAATCAATTCCTTCACTACATGCGCAGTTTAAAGGGGAAAAATAAAACACACAAAAACGTGTAGATGATCGTCGAAGATCAGCAGCCCCTTTTTGGAAAGCAGAAGCATGTATTTAACTTCGACACTTACTTTTTATAATTGACTTAAGCAAGCAAAACATTTATCGAATGGCAAAAAAAAAAAAAATCTGCTCAATAAGTAGATGTCTCTACCGATACATACACATCAACTCACCTTCTTCTCTTGATTTCCCAGGACATGGCAACAGACAGCTGTGGCCACTAAGTCTTCATTACTCTCATAAAATTTCTGGGTACATTAAAAACATGATTGAAACCTATTAAAACTATTTGCTCAGGGAACACAAGGCTTTATCACCATCATTTGTTCACCTCAGCATTAACTTACAAAAAAAAGCCTCAATGGCTTGCAGTTGGACATCTGGCCCTTAGTTCAGCTATTAACTATTTTAAAGAAAGACCTTGAGAGAGAATTAATAGGCTGTAATCATCTAAAGTAGTCTCATATGCAGTTCATTTCTCCTTCACTTCTTCGTTGCAGTAAACCAAAAGCTTTCAAAAGCAGTAACATAAAAAAGCACATAAAAGTTGATTCAGATTATATCACATCCTTTCGTATTTACAGATTTTCTGTAGCAAAGAATCCACTATCATTGTTTCACCACAATTAAAAGTCTTGGCCTTTTTAGATTTGGAAACATTTTCAAAACCCTCAGGAACTCAACAACAGCAGCATCGCATTCCAGACAATATTGCAAACACCTCCCACGCAATCAAAGTGTCTATTAAAGAAACAGTCTTAAAAAGTACAGCTCCCCAGTCCTCCTCTTCCTCACGATACCATCCCCACCAGCTCCTGCGGGCGCTACGTTAGTTTCTTTATTCTGCGGTTCTGCTTGTCAATATTCAGCGTCGTGCGGTCTACGGAGGTAGTGATGGAATCGAGAGCTTCGTCCTGTCTCTCCAGCTCGGCTTCTGTCTCCAAGGCAAGGCCCTTCAGTTTCTTTAGTATCTGTCAGAAGAAAAGACTGAGAGCTTTCAGCAATCGACCAGCCGGTTCTTTGAGAAATGTAACAGACCCATGGCAATTAGTTACTTCATTGCTTTAAATGACCAAATCATTTGTTGGAGTCTGCCCTGAAGCGTGCTGGTGAAGAGACACAGGTCTTGCTCCGATAAGCTGAATTGAGATGAACTAAATGAACTAAAGACCAGAAAAATCAAATCTGAACTGTTAGGGTTATACAGAGGGGAGGAATAAATTAGAAGTAAAAATCAGCGTAAACATCAGCTTTTTGCTGGCTCTGTTATTATCTCCTTGGTATGTCTGCACCCTAGAGCAGTAGCTTGTCCTGGGATGTTGCGCACGTTGAGAGCCGATGCAGACAGAGAGCACGGCTGGTGCAAAGCCAGAAGGGGATCACATGGCTGAAGGCGTAGCAAGGTTATGCAGGGACCAGGTCAAAGGACAGAAAACGCTGTTTTACTACAATCCACTAAAGAAAGAAGTGTCATTGGATGGAGCAGAAGGGAAAAAGTGAGACCTGGGCAACCAAACAAATAATTTTCAAGGGACTAGGGGGTGGTGTGGTATGAACAGACGTCAAGGCGGCCAAGAGGCTCAGGCTGTACCCGAGATGAGAAACAACAGATGCACTGGCTACAGCTCTATTCCAGGCCGCAAGCATTATATTACATATCAACCAGTTTACACTACACTTAGCAAATTACTGTTCGTATGTGGGACTGCAAGCAAACACCCTGAGCTACTCCAAGATTGTGAGGAGACCCTGTTGTCTGAAAAAGCCTATAGATACTAGTCCAAACAGGGCAGAAGCCTCTAAAGTGAAAGGAGAAAGCCAGGCTGATGCATTCTTCAGGCTAGGAGACATCCGTAGCGATACCATACACTGACTTACGGGGCCTACTCAACTTCAATTTTCATCATTTCACATAACCAAGTCCAAGAGCAGAGATCCAAACAACACAAGAAGAATCTGTCTTAATTCCTTACCCTGTAACACTGGCTCCTTTTAGCAGCAGTCCAAGGCATGAGTTAGTATCGTTGCCTTTTCTTCCCTCTTGTGGCTACTCCCTTAATAAGCCTGGTAGCATGAACTGAAAGCACCTGCCTGAGAGGCAAGCCTCAGCTGCCTTCCCTCGGATGTATCAGAAGGAGATTTGGAAGCACCGTATCATACTGACTGGAAATCCAGCTTCCCAGTTGCTTCAGATCATAACGGGGTTGTCTCCGCTGTCACTGCTGGCCTACATGATCTGCTTCCTCAGGAATCCACAGATGGGTCCATGAGGATATCCTCACACTACCTGCTTAATAAGAGCAGTTTATCCAATCAATTGCAATAATAGACTCCAAGAAAGCAAATTATCCCAGCACTATCCCACAACATCAACTGCTGTGGTACATGAGCATCCAGGTAACGCTACTGAAGATACCAGAACCGCAGCCTGTCTTAACAAAATAAATCTGTGGCTTTTGGTAAAACAGGGGAAAAGAATTGTACTCTATACATGTTTAATTTTATTTTTTTCGCAACAACCGGCGAACTCTGTTTTCTTGTTTTCCTTTTAGAATATATATAATCAGCCCCCAGAAAGCTGCTGTGAAACATCAGCAGCCCCTTTATCCACACGTGGGGCTGAATTCCACAGCAGTCCCATCGTTTGCAGCTATGCAAGTTACTGGTCTGAGAAAAGCAGTGAGGAATATCATATCTAGCTGGAATGGCAGGGGAATTTTATGCAGACAAAATGCTTTGACTAAAGCTGGACGTCAGCCACAGTAGTGAGATTTATCTTGTAACATATCTCTCATCTCTTTCCATAAATCACAAGCAGCTAGAAATACAGCTGTGTGAATAACTGGTTTTGCAATTTAGCTGCCAAAGCAAAAATACAAAACAAACCATGGATCAAGCTTAATCTACCTTCTTCTGTTCTTACCAAAACTACAAGCTAAAAACCCCTGTTTCCACCCCCAATGAAACACTTCAGGTTCTTTCACTGTAACAGAAAAGCGAGGCTGAATTCCCCAAACTGGAGGTGGTAGACATGTGTAGGATACGCACCAAAAAGAAAAATGACATGATCAGATCTATCATGTGTATGATTCAGGACATGGGTCTGAAATAAGGTCTTGCCTCTCCCGAGGAAGTAACTTTTCTACTTGGAAATGGGAAGTTCAGAGGCTGTTCTCCCTCAGTCTTTCCTTTGAGCTGCTTCTGCATATATTTTATATGTACAAACATAGAATCATTAAGGTTGGAAGAGACCTCTAAGATCATTGAGTCCAACCGTCAACCCAACACCCCCATGCCCACTAAACCATGTCCCTCAGCGCCTCATCTACCCGTCTTTTAAATACTTCCAGGGATGGTGACTCCACCACTTCCCTGGGCAGCCTGTTCCAATGTTTAACCACTCAACATACATAGAAATACATAAAGTAGCCAGTGCTACATGAAATGACTCCTACCATTCATAAAGTCATAGTATAATTAAGACTGGAAAAGACCTCTGAAGGTCTTCTGGTCCGCTCCACCCAACTAAGAGCAGGGCCAGCTTCCATGTTCAGCTGAGAGAAGATTACAAGGTTTCAGCCTCCACTACAATAAACTTTTAATTCTTTAGACTAGTTTAGGAGAGACCTCACTCCTTCAGTATATCCTAAAGGATGGCAGTGAAAGACATGTGCTTTGTCATTTGCAGATGATTTAAAGATGGTCCACGCTGACATCTTTTCAGCAAGTTTACTAAAAAGTTTTATCCAAGAGCATCCCAAAATTTGTTTTCCAGCACAGCAGAACAAAAGCAGCAGCAGCTGCCGATGCTTTCTAGATCATGGCTTGACGCATACTCCAGCATGGTCCCTCTGGCCATTCAACACCTCCACCTTCTGCTGCAGCAAGGCACATGCTTTTGGAGGTTTTTCACCAAGCACCCTTAGCAGTGCGGTGAGTTCAGCTTTCCTGAGCCATGTCCTCACCCAGCACATCTCAGTGTGTGAAATCCACTGAGGCGAGCACGTAAGGTAAATGTGGTGACATGCAGTGCAAGCCTCCAAGAAGGCTATGCAGCAAAGCAGGGGCTGGCACGAGAGGATGCAGAAAGGAAGCAGAGACACTCCTCCTTCCCCACCTCTCCAAGAGGCACCCAATTTATTTGTAAATCAAAATTGTGCCAAAAAAGGCCCAGGTTTGCCATGAAAAACAGTTTATTTTTAGTTTCAAAACAGATTACTTTTGATAGGCTTCGCTTTCATTAGAGCATACTTAACATTTATAATACAGAAAAAGACACAACTGTTGAGAACAGAAAAGGTTTTAAAATACGAAAGCAGTAAAATGGAAACTCAGTCGGCTACAGGGCTCTGCTCAGTTCACCTGACAATTAGGCTCTGCCTTGAAACGCAGCGGGCGATGACGATGCGCTTACTCACACACAAAAATAAAAGGCAAGCGGCTCACTTTCATCTGTTAATTCTCTTTGCCTAACAGAGTCTGGTAATAAATCCCTTAACCCTTTGTCTGTCAGCATCTTCAACCGTTCAAGCTGAGTGCTGCTACTCAATCCAACAGGACCTGAAACGGTTAAGATGCTTTTCCAGCACAGCCCACAGAGCTTGCTGGAAAGAGTTACTGGAATCTGAAGTCTGGCCAAAGCTGGTCACTACTATTTTTGCAAAGCAAAATGATGGCAAGATGTCTAGTTATCACTGCTCCAGTTCTGTCAGCTGCTCAGAGCAGCAGTGCCTTCTGTGCCAGCACGTAATTTGGATGGTGAACCAAGACATGAAAACTCAGCGTGAAACTCTGTCTGTTACACAAAGCCAAACAGCAGGTATGAGCCCATCAGAGATGCATTTTAAAGGCACATTTCCTCAGGCACTGGTCAATCTCATGTAGAGACAGCCTCAGATTTATGCCACCAGATTGTAATTTGTAAAGTCTGATTTATCCTTGCGGCTCTGCCACAGATTTTCTGTGCAACTTCAGGCAAGTTACCCAGTATTCCCATGCACAGAGTTCTCGCTGTAGAAAAACAAGGAAGCAAATTTGTCAGTGCTCTCCAAATCCACCTGGTGTCGACTGTTCAACTACAGCAGACTTGGGCCTTGCTGGGAGAAGAGGTGTCCATCCAAGCTATGTACCCCAAGTTCTTGTATAGACTATGGGGACCTAGACAATGCAGTGCAGTTTAGGTCATGATTCATCTGCTCTATTTTATGTACCTGCTTAAGGAGGAGTTCAAGCACTGCCCACTCCTCTCTGCTTTGGCTCAAGTGAGAGCCGAGCAACCAGCTTAGCTGGAGACAGTCACGACACAGACACAAATGGAATGACGGGAGAGGACTCCAAGCCCATGAACCCACTCAGTACTTCACCCTATTACTTTATCATTTTGCCACACCACCTGAAGACCTAAACTCAAAGTGTCAGACACTGTACAACCAGAGATTGTATCCTAAAGATCATACAATGGAGACCTCAGCTTGGTTTGGGTCCTGAGATACCATCATAATAATGCAATTTAGCTAAAGCTTGTGAAATATGATCTACCATCCCGATACACTGAGTATCCAGCAGTAAAGATACTGAAAGTGCCATTGTGCAGGAAGTATTGCCAATTGTAGTTTGAACTCCCTGAAATCCTCCCTGAGATCCACTCCACTATCCCTGTGCAACTGAGGTCTAAATGCTAAAGCAGAGCACGTACAACCAGAAATGGCTCTTGAATGCAGCTTCCCCAGCCAAATTCACCTGTTATTAGGAAACAAAGAACTGCCACTTGCAGTACTGAACCAGGGTGCAAACAGAGGTTTTGACAGTGATCACTTGTCATGATTTAATACGGTGCTTCACCTCTGTGCTAAACATATTGCAGGTGAGCAAGAAGGGGAGACAACACCTAAAATATTCCAATTCGTAATCCCATTATAAACTCAAATCCATAATAGGGATTAAGTTGAGTGATCTTGCACTGAAAATATTAAGAGGCCTGTCCACATGCTCTCCTGCTGCACCTGGAAATGAGCAGGGAGACAGCAGAGAGCAGAAACATCTTAAACCACTGCAACACAATCTACTAGAGGACATTTGCCAGTACCTCATGAGACAAGCGCAACTTGCCGTAACAAAAATCTATGGATTTACGTTGCTTTAAGATGCTTCCTGTTTGGAATTGCCGCTATCAGCACTTGCCTGTAGCTATGCAAAGCACAGACGTTCCTGCTGCTTGATCCAGAGTTGCATCTGGTGTACGAACAGCCAAGCTCTACACCAGCCACTAGCAAAAGTGCTCCTGCCTGCTCTAGAAAATCAGGCTGTCTCTTGTAGAACAAAATTTCTGAGCACAGAAAACACTGGAATAGGCAAGTTTGACAGGACAGCAGGTCCCTTGTATCTGAAGCACGCAAAAGCAGACAAATTTTCAAGCACCAGCTCTTTTGAGCCAATGGCCATTAGGACAGTATGGAAGGGTCACTGTTTACTATCTTAGTGGCCGATTTCTCCCATTATTTCTTCTTGGACTGATACAGAAGTCTGATTTTATTTACTTTCTCAGGGAGTACTAAGCACTCACGGTACCACTAACATACCACTGGTCTTATCTGGAAAAAATACTCAAGCAGATCCACAGGCTTAACTACCACCTTTTATTTTGGTACCATTAAATACTTCAGTTACACACAAGCAAATACAAAGTGTTAGTTGTAAGGACCGCAGTAAGGACTCTCCCCACACTGTGCCTTCCAAAAAACAAATCTGGGGCATGGTCATTACACGTGTCTGTTAAGATCAGTTGCCTGCTGATCGCTATAGGCCATGGAAAAAGGCCATCCTATGAGCAAATTTGGTATTTAGCACTTGGAATGAACAGTTCTTCAACAAAACACTTTTCCTCTGACCTAACGGTTGTGATTTCCTGAGATGAAGGCACGATAAGAGCATAAATAAACACTGAAGAGACTCTGAAAGTAGCAAAGGACTGAAATGGAGCTATCTACACCTGAGAAGACATCGAGGAAGAAAATGTCACAAAGATATGCACTGGGATGTGTTTTTTTTTCCCCAGATGTTACAGAATTAACTTCTTTAATACCATCTCTGTCTTCATGGCATACGCAATCTGCAGACAGTAAATATCAGGGCAACAGTTCTTTGGCAGGAACGGTTTAGGAAATTAGAAAGCACTGGTTTGGCAAAATAAATTCAAATCTAGTGAATTCCCCCCCTTCGACCACAGCCCTTAAGCTAATATTATCATATCCCCTCCCACACCCGGTGCCATTATGTCAGCCAGAGCAAGGCGGTAGGCAGAGGCTCAGCCAGAGACCACAGGAACTTCGTAGGCTTCTTTCTCCATCTCTATAGCACACAGCACAGCTAAGGAACACAGCTCACACTGCCACAAACTCTGTGTTTTGTTTTGTTTTTTTTAACATAAGCGTCCCTTCATGAAGTCCTGGTGAGGTCCTTTAGTCAGGCACCCAATCACAACTGCAGATGCTCAGGACTTCCAGCTCTAACGGAAGGAAATTAGTATCATTCAACAATGCTTGTTGCAAAACATCTAGTAGTATTATTACTGCAAGTACTTTGTTTTTCGGGAGAGAGGAAGAGCGACAATTATTTGGCTGTTCATCACAAATTCCTCTTACATCTCCCACTTCAAAAGTTCTGCTGGACTTACAGCACAAGTAATGAGGGGGACGGAGCAGAGCTCTTCTGGGTTTTGTGATTTTGGGTTTGTTTTTTTTTTCTTTTTAAAAACAAGTGCTTGCATTACAGATAATCAAAGAATAAAAGATCATAATCCTCAAGAGAGGAAACTGCTCAGAAAAATGCTGTAGTTATCAACATAAGGACCTCAAATACCTTTAATTCACTCACGGAAGCCTGATGCCACAAGTATCATTGTCCTCAATGCATGTTAATGCTTTGCACTTGTAACTGTTTTCCCCCCTTACTCTCTAAACGCTTTGCAAACATGATTAACCACCATCCTGCTCATTCCCAAAGTGGGAGCTGAACTGAAGCAGTGCAAAGAAGCTCTCCGGGAACAACTGCATCAATGAAAGACAAGCCCTTCCTGCGGGCTAAAACAACTATGCGACCATGCGTACTGCTCATTGATGAGACATGTTTGGAGAAAAAAGGACAAAGCAGCAGGCTACACCTCAGCAAGGAGCACCCTACAACCGAGCTCATGACTGACCGCCTAAGGCCACACAGCTGGAAAGGAGACAAAGCTCCTGGTTCCCTGCCCTGCTTTCTATTTACAGATTTAACCCGCCTCTCAACTATAAAATGACTGAATATGGCAAATATAACCTTAGATAAAGCCTTGACATACCTTAGATAAGCATTAAATGTCCTGCTCAGATGTATTTTCAAGATCTTCACCTCGATGCTTCCAGGGGTTCAATACCCAAAAGGCTTTGTATGGCGTTTACTATGATGCTGCCCTTGAACCCCATTAGAATACATCCGCAACCTCCATACCTTTCAAATCCACTTTTACCGGTAGGAGTTCCCCCCCTTCAATCACGCTTTCCTTCACTTCCACATCTTTACACTTCCCCTTTAAACCTCGCCACATTCTCTCCTAAGAGAACCAAAAGGTCCTGAGCTATTTCACTCTGCTTTGTGCTTTAGAGCAATGAGAAAAAGCAGTGCTTGGACAACAACTGGGAGCAGCTGGAGAGACGCCAGCCTGTGCAAGATGAGAGGCTTCATTCCCAATTCACAAGACTTGTTGGAAGATGCTGAATTCCCCGTCCTACGTTTCTTCTGCTTCTCCAGTCACAGCCAACTGCTTTGATAATATCAAGCACCAGCAAAGGTTGGTGTTCAACTGGCAAGAACTGGCCCTGGGGATGCAATTCCTAGAGAGACTTTTTTGCAAGGTGTAGCAAACTGTGTCTTCAATAGTAGTCCATGACCAACAACCCTTCATACCGTGCTTAGCTTTTTTGGGTCTGGCTACAAATCAAAATTATAGTGCTGAAAAACTGATATTTAAGGAAGGAGCAACTAGCCCTTCTGAATACATAACAGCTGTACAAAGTACATACATGCATGAATAATAGATTGCTGCTGTTTGTACAACTACGATTGAGAAATAGTCTCCCTTAACATCTTTCAAAAGGTCAACGCTGCTTCAGAAAATGTTTATTTTTTAATAAAATGATAGATCATGGAGATAAGCACTTTAAAAGATGAGAAGAAGGGAGGATGATTAAATGGTGAATAGTCCATTCTGTTTTTGAAAAAGCCAAAATAAGATATTTCAGTCAAAAGATCTTGATTATATTTTGGTTACAGAACCAAGTTTTGGTCTAAAACTGTGTATTTATGCGGTGATTCCTAGTAAGGAAAAGGAACAGGAGTTTTATAGGAATTATGGCATGTACCTTAAAATTATTCATGACTGCAATGATGATTAAAGAGGCCTGACTCTCAGGAAACAGGTGCTCAGCAATTATTGGGAAAAAATCAGGCCAATTCACAGCCTCTCAGTTTGGCATCCAGATCCTCTCCCCGCCCACACCACCCCACAAGCCCACCCCAAATCATTAACTGGCTTAAAAATTCTTGGCTTGGTGTGGTATAAATAAATACCAGAATTGTCTTTTGCGCTCTAGTTAATCTTGAAAGTGTTTTGTTTTAACTAACGCTGGCCATTTAACACTGTTTCTAGTCCACCATCCAGCACAGAGAATTTTAGAAATTTCTGAAATTAACCTTCTGCAAAGGTTAAACTCTCACTTACCCAACCGCCTTTTGTTAATTTTAATAAATAGATTTTCCTTGCAAGAAGATTTCATTTTTAGCCACTCAAGTCACCACTAAGTGCTTGTGACTCTCAAACGCGCTCAAGCTAACAGAAGTTGCCATATTGTAATTCTCAACTATAAAATAAAAGAAGGGGGCTAGAAAACTGCAGGTTTGGGTAAGAGGCGATAGAATTAGCAGAAAATTCACATGATGCTATTACCAAGCTGCAGATGGAATGTTAAAGAGAATAAGATGCTAGAGGGGAAAAAAAATTAAAAAAAATATATATCAAGAAAAAAGTTTAATCTTCAGCCACATCTTTTGATGTGGCTGTGGTCATCACCAGTAAACCTATTTTAATGGAAAAACCACTAAAACCATGCTCCTTTGCTTTTCCAGTTACTTCGCTGTTTCAGATCAACCACAGACTGCAGAGAGGGATTCTTCACTAGAAGTTCTGAACATCAGCTATGAGAGAAATTCCTTAAAAAGCCATTTAGAGGAACAATATCAGACTGGATTACTTTAAATAAATATTTTTTTCCTAGTAAAATCTCCGACCTATTTCCCCTTTACTAATTTGCTGGACTGCATACTTACTTCCTAACTACAAGTTCTCTCTGTGTGTTTATAAAACACTTTGTTCAGCTTTGTGGATGTTTCTGAAATAGAACTGCTACTCCTTACTAAAAAGAATAAGATAGCATAGGGAAAACACAAAAAAGCTGAAAATGATTTAATTGTTAAGCTGCTTAATCTTCAGAAAAAACAGGTTATGATTAAGGATTTTCCCTGGGTTATAATCCTATCACTTACTATATTTTGCTGATAATCCCCGATTTGTTCAAAATAGTTAATAACAAATATAAAGTTATCAGTGTATTTTAATCACAGGCTCGATTAACCAATTTTTAATATATGCCCACCTAAATTTAGGGAGAGGAACATTTTGTTAAGGACAATGACTATGTTTCTGATGATGAAAATGCATGTTACTAAGGAAGAAGAGGGAGTGAAACAACTCTTAATCAAAGTTATCTCAACTTATACCTGTTTAAGCTCTTTTGCTTCTTCCTGGGAGATCTTCTCTTGCTTCTGCAGCTGAACCTGGTCATTGTCCATCCCTTCTCTGCCTCCCACCGGAGAGCTGGGCTGCACCACTCCTCCCAGGAGTCCTGTGGCTGCAAGAGAAATTCCCATGGTCAGACTGCCATCTCCTGTACCAATGGGGAGGACCAGCGCTAGTATCAAACTGGTTGACTTTTGCTTTGCTCCATAGCAGTTTGCGAGGGGACAAGCGCGCTCGGAGAAGCCTAACCCAACCTTGCCTGCTAAGCCATGTTCTTCTAGAAAGGATTTGAGCTGTATTTTGTACAACGCCTAACCTGGAGGTGACCAGGCTGCTGAGAGGTGACTTATTATTAAAGGCAACGTTTGGAGAATGGGTTCATTTTGGGCTGTGGGGATTCATCTGAACAGAGAGCAAAGCAGCAGCGACACACTCCCAATCACATAAACGAGGATTCTCCACCTGCTGCTTCTTCTCTCTTTCATCTTTTTAATTAAAGAATTTAAAAGTAATGGATCAGGGACAGAGCCCAAGAGTCAAGTCAGCAAACCCCTGAAACAGAAGGGCAACACTGACGCTAACAGCCACCCCCAGCTAAGCAGCGTGGACGCAATCCCTCGTGTAACATGCCACCTGTCCTTTATTTAAAGCATCAGCTCTTATTGCAGTATCTGATACTACCCAGTAGGGTAGCAGGGGCATGCTGCAAGGAAAGGTTGTTATTTCTGATGCAGATGGGTGCTAAACACCCGAGACGCACATCTTGGCTCCTATAGGCTCTTCAAACATCTCCAAAGCTCTCCCACTTAAAGAGGTACCAAGAAGGAAGCTAACGCTACCCCTGCCACCTGTGAGCACATGGCCTAACCCAGCACAGGACAATGACAGCAGCTCTTGCGTACATCAGGACAGAAAGCACATCAGATGCCAGAGCTCACCGCCAGGTCGAAAAGCTGGTGCCCAGCTGGCTGGCCAACTGACGGTGTACACCCGACAGCTTTGGATAGCATTACTTCCCCTTGAAAAGGGAGACAAAAGCTAAACCAAAAGTACCAAACCCTAAATCCCTCTCAAGTAATTACTGCAAACTCATAATCCCTGGAATTATTTGGTTATCAGCCTGAGAGTCGCTGGACTCAGACACCGTCAAGATTTAAGACAAGCGAGTCATTCACTGTACTAGTGTTACCCTGTGCAAATGCTCCTTGTGTTCGGAGGGGCTAAGAACTGTGCTGCTTATGGTAAATTACTGTCGTGGTCTCCCACAGAGGACAAAGTGGGGAGGGAACGACAGACCTTCCTATGGCAGCAAATAGCCAGGAGAGATTCTTTGTGTCTCTTATCAGCTGAGTGTCACCGTGTGCTAATTATTTCATTAAGACCAAGAAATCTATCCATTTCACTCCATTAATCTCTCTGAGGACAAGAGCAGAAGGGGGACATGACAAAGGCGCACAAAAAGAATGGGATGAGGAAGGAGATCTGGTATTTCCCAACAGTTTTCTACTCTAAAAAAAAGGGAGAGAATTGAATAGAAAGGCAGAAACATTTAAAAAGCAATTTTGTTTTGTTTGTGTTACACCCAGTTGGACTGTGAGACTCGCTGCCACCACGTGAGTACGAGAAGCTACCAAACCTCTGAACACAGTGCTGGAAACTCATAATAATGAGAACATTTGGTCACAGGGGTAAGCAGGAAAAATTCAGCAGCCTCGAAAGGCACAAAAAACTGCGAATGCCAGTCTTCAGCCATAGGATTGAGACAGCACTGCCCTAGATTGTTATACTGCAGACACGCTGTAGGATTTCTCGCGCTTTTTAATTCTGGGTAGCTGTTATCAGCCATTATTGAGGACGTTACTGGCTAGGAAAGTACTGGCTTGATCCAGCACAGAAGAACCTCTGTTATAAAACAAGCCTCACTGCTCTGTCCTGAGCATTTAAACACCCATGCGGCTTGGTCCAAAAAAATACAGTCAGAAAAGACACGCAAAGCAGCTAAAAGTACTTTCAGATAATCTGGCGTGTCTAAAACTCTTCACAAATTCCTCTTCTAGGTGGAATCAGGCCAAAACTCTTAAGAAAGACGAGTTTTTTGAATTTACTTATACAAATGTGCAATATGCACAACTTTAAGGCAGGACTAGTATAAACAGACAGGATCCAGATGAGACTATGACAGTTGTGGAAATGTTCACGTCTCTGAGCTGCACCACCGAGGGCAAAGAACACTACGAGCCAGTTCACCGAGACAGATGTACCTCTGCTGCAAGGATATTTCTCCTCTAAGTCTCTGAATCAACATTTGCTATCTGAAAATACACACATACATTTTATGTGCGCACAAAGGCAGGCATGCATAACAACGGACTTTTCTCCCCGCTTTTAGAAAAAAAAAGAAAAAAGTTAAAAATCAGTATTTCCACCATGGAAAAACCACAGAGGTTAAAACACAGTCCGTGACTGCCATCTTGCGACAGAAGACAGACAGCGACAGACTCCAGGGAAGGAACAAACAAGGGTTTTGGTTCAGCCGGAGAAGTCAGGATTTCCATAACCTCCAGTTTTCTTTACTGACATTTCCAAATTAAACAGTCAAAATGCAGGTGGGGGTAGGAGAGCAATATCCTTGACTCACTGACTCAGATGCAAACAGAGCAGAGCAGTGGGAAGTTAAGCACAGTAGGGCTGTATAACCAATTATTTTATGTAACCAGCCTTAAGACCATCAGGAACTGAACCCAATTTACTGGAATAACTCACTGCTTAAGAAACCAGCAGGTTGTTTTTCCTCTAAGTTGTTGTGCTGACATTTTAGTGCCAGATGCCCAAGACTTACTTCCTTAAAAATTAACAAGCTTTTCCAAGCTATGGCCCTTGACGACTTGTCAACAAGAGGACATTATCCTCCCTGCTGAAGTCCAGTTTTAGCTTGGTGCACAGAAATAGGTTCGCCTATTGTTTTACTGTATCATTTTCCTACTCGTTTTTAATACGCCGGCAATAAATCCATCCACCGATTTGCTCTTTTGTCACTAACAATTAGGGAAGAAAGGATTCAGGCGTGTTAATAGAAATAAGTTCCTAACGGACAAAAATTCACCAGCTCTCCAAATGAATCCAGGGTTGAATTACAAAAACAAAAAAAACCCAAACCTCCCCGGAATTTTAGAAGAAGTAATAGTAGTAAGGAATGTCATTCTTATTATTATGAAAGGGTTTCAGTCTCCACTGTTTTCTTAAAACGATTAGACTATGCATTCACCTAATCTGAGACCTAAAATCTCCTAAATCCAAACACCTGAACTTCTCAAATAATAAAATTCTATTTTTTAAGATATGAAAATTAACATGATGTTTATCCCACACGTTATTAAAAAACTTGCTGGACTGAAAGTTTGTTTTAAACTTTCTACAATTTACTGAACAACAGGTTTAATATAAATATTCTTCCAGCCATGAGCTTCCAAAGGAAAAACAGCAATGACAGAGGACTCTGAAGCATGCAGTCAGGAGAGAAGAATGGATTTCTAATGACCCTTCCCCACAGCGTGGCACAACAGTGAGTTGGTGACCACTGGAAAAAGAATGACATTGTAGTTAAGACACAGGCCAGTAGCTGAAGCTCAAATTAAGCTAATCCTTTCACAAAGTGGTGTGGAGTTAGTGCCAACACCAGCTGAAAGCACAATGTTAAAGAGGGTTTGGCATGTTCCAGCTGTCAGGCTCCTGAGGGACACTCAGCTTCAGCATCTACAGTCACAGGTTTTGCTAATGCAGTCGGGAGAAAGTAAATCCAACTAGACTAAAACAGGGCCACACACTTCGGTCATCTCTACCCTCTCCCTCTCGGCAAGAGGGTCTAAAGTCACCTAGCAGTTATTCCTTGCATTTTATGATCAGCATGGTCTCACCGTTGGGTCTGGGGGGAGAGGATTTCCCTTGTAAATATTACATGCTATTCTGAGTTTGAAAACCACTTGGAACCTTTTGGTGCTGGTGTTACTGCTTACAGATGGATTACTTTGTCTGTCACATACCTGCTTGCCAAATGGAGGTCCCCAAATCTACTTGAGGAGACTTCCTGGCACCAACAAATCCTAGGGCATCTTCTAAAAACTGTATCTTCTTGCTAAACTGCATCTCCAAGATGGGGATTGCTTCTGGCATCTTTGCTGACAAGAGCCGGTAAGAGGTGTCAGGCTTCCCAATAAATCTCTGACGGACGCTGATTTCGTATGGCGTATGAACTCTGATATCATCTACATCCTTCGATTCAAACCGGTGAATGACCTGAGAATTGCAGTCACTGATTTCCAGGCCAGAAGCGAAGAGCGTGAGTTTTCCTGGCTTGACATTTGAGTCTGTTCTGTGGGTGATAATAACTGGAATTCTAATTATGATTCCTTCCTGGTTCTTCGAATCGGAAACTGTGGCAGTTTCCTTTGGCTTGGTTTCCAACGGTGCTTTCCAGAGCTTGCTGCTAAACGGCCACCAAGAAGGAGATTCGAGCTCAGTCAACAACCTAGCAGAGAAAAGAGAGTGTGAGAAGAGTGAAAGCCAGTAGGAGGGTCATGCTACCCCACCAGTTCAAAGCAAATTACCACAGACACAAAGATTTCTTAATACTGAGTCCACCCCTCTGTTATTTCGCTCCTCAAACCTATTCACAGTTTACCAGGTTCCATCCATTTTAAAAAACAGCTTTTCTTCATTTGCTAACACGTTGGAAAGCGGTCCCAGAATCTCACTGTTCTGATGTTGCCTGGTTTCGGCTGTGAGAAATCCAACTTCTAACTGGATTTATTCAGGGCAATTTACACCCACCTGTTCTTCAGCTAACACTGCCTTTTACCTCAGTATTTCCACACCTGGCCATCACCACCACTGCCTTTTTCTACTCCTTTATACCTCAGCCCCATGGTCTGATGCCACCTTTTGCTTTGCTCCTGCTCCCAAATTCCCATTGCCAGTTAAAACACTGAGAGTGCAAGGTTGAGGCTGAAAAGCCCAGCGGAGATTGCCCGCTGGCGTCCAGGGTCTACCTCACCGTCAATGCTGGTGTAACTCCTGAAGGAGACAGACCTCCTTGCTGGCAAACTGGTGCCTTAGCTTAAAGGTAATCGGACTCACTTTATGGAGGAATTAAGCAACTGCTCCCAAGGAAGACCACTGTATAGCCAGAAATAACACAGGGAGTCAAGCCCCTTATTTCTAAGCAAGAAGATGCACGGAAGCAGGCACCTCAGTTTATCAGCTGCAAGCAAGAAAGATGTAACAGGCTGTCAGGAAGAATCAATGAATGCAGGACACGATCCTTCTGTTGTATTTTCTATCAGCGTAGCCCATTCCCCTTTTCTGGGGTCCTCTCCCAAGAAAGGATCATGATCACAGATCTCTTTGGGTCTAAGCCTCACCAGTACTCTTTCCACAGAAAAAATGGGAATGAGAGGAAAGGTGGTGGTTTTGGTTTGATTTTCCATGTGCTGCGCTGCCTATCTGTTAGCATCCCTCTCCATGTCTAGACAGGAGTTAGAGGCAGAGCCACAGTCAGCACCTATGATGCTCCGTTTCTCCCACTCTCATCCCCTGCCCGTCGCCCAAACCCATCCTGCTAGCAGAGGATCCTGTATTTCAGGATGACTCAGCCTCAGTGGCTGGAAAGAAATTTTTGGGCCAAATAAATCTCCCTGCACAGCCCACAGTCGCATCCGAGCCGAAGTGGCTCGTCTCCAGTTGCAGGCAGGCATAGGAAGAGACAAGTCAACCCTCTGGGACGCATCCACTGCTCAAACAATCCTACCCCGTCCCCACTGGAAAACAGCAACGAGCTGGCTGGAAGCATCCCACAAACCAAACCAGCCTGCAGGCCGCTAGCCTGATCAGGATGTTTTAAATGGAGATTCCTCAAGCCCACCTGTCAGTCACTGAGCAGAACAGGAAAACCATCTCTGGAGGCACAAAGGGATTCTCAATTAACTAACGGGAGGGAAGAGGTTATGTTTAAACCAAACAAAGAAAAAAAACTCTAAGGAAGTTCAACCCAGATCAGAACTGTGTCCCTCCCCACCCCATAAATACCTTAAGGACTATCCAGTGATTAAGCATGTGCCACTGGCATGGTGGTTGTAGTAGATGCTTCTAATGAAGCCAGACCACATGTAATAAAAATCTTTAATGAAACACTGCCATCTTACTCATGCCACAAAATACCGACTTCAATCCTAGAGGTGCAAGCCTTATCAGACCAAAATACAAAGTACTACTGCTTCATTGCTATTTTGGAGAGCCAGCTTGATTTAATTTGCTTTTAAGTTTACTCCAGAAAGGTACTGCCTGATAAAATATGCATCACGGTGCTGCTCTCGAGATACTTTTTGTAATGATTTCTTTTCCATGAGAGAATCCGAGCGTGTCTACAGAAGACTTTGCAATTTTAAAATCCTGTTTAATTTGGCTGCAGACAAAGTCTAGTCTGAAAGAGGAAGCTCTAACTGAACACACTTTGTTTACTAGCCATCAAAGTTCTGCACCGGCTTCAAAACAGACCTACTTAAAGAAATTAATCTGCTGGGAAAAGCAGAAAAAGTCATACTGGGAGTCAACCACTGAATTCATGGATAGCGGAGGCAGAATGAATTGTTCCAAGAATCTACTCCCAGCTACAGCATGAACATCAGATATTTATGTAGATAGCATGCAACATGAGTAATGGGTCTGGAGCTCTCCACTGCCCTCTGAAAATGCTGTGACACTCCTTAAAAAAAAAAGGGGGGGCGGGGGGGAATAGACCAAAGGAGATGTAACAGGAAGTTCTACAATAACAGAATTTGAAATGGCACAGTATCATAGATTTAGGACTGAATTCTGAAACTATGAGGTTCAACTTAAGTTCAACACAGAGAATGACTGAAAAAGCCCTAGGCTCTGCTAGCACACACCATCTTCCAAATTAAAAGCCATGCTCCAACCTACCTGCTGTAACTAAACAGAAACAACCTGATCTTATTTCTACAGAACGCAAAGCACGTTTTCTGCCCTCTTGTTGAATGAAAGAGTTACAACAAGGTACTTCAGGGCAACGACAGCTTATGCCTGCGCCTTAACCTATGAAAAGCCATTACATTCCTACCGCAATATGGGTTCATCACATTCACCGTGAGAAAAGCATGTGCGGTGGCTTAGTGAAAAGCAACTGCAACGCGACAAGTCTAAACCTCCGCTTACATTGTGGTAACTAATTCTGGATAGCTTTGAGCCTTCATTTTTATCACTTTATCCCTTCACCCGTCTCCTCCCCTCTTTCCCCAGGGACTGACATCCTGGCTGGGCGATGCCTGATTTACAGTCAAGATTTTTCTGCTGCACAGCCTTAACGAAGGCTCCAGCCAACTCCTCTGGCCTTCCACGGAGGAGTCACCCCTCTGTATCAACAAACTGTATGACCGGTCCTTACATACAAATGAAAATTTGCAACCAGAGTACCTTGTCCTCGAATAGTAATATATTAAAAAGGAACCAGTTAATCTGGCTTTCTGTTTATTTTTGGTCTTTGAACATCTGCTAGCACGTCAGACTCAGCACTGCTTATCTGCACGCAGGTCCACTGAAAGCAGCTGTATATACCCAGGCACACACAAGAACAGAATTAATAATCCAAAAAAGCCCACACATACTGGCAAGATAAAGTTAATCAAAGTTTTAAACATATGAAAGTAGATAAAGAGGCCTGGTTCTTTTTATAAAAGACACCACCATCAAACCGGTGTCGCTCATACAACCTTGAATTAGCAGACACAAAAGTTTGTTAGCAAAGTTTCCTTCTGCACAGAATCTGCTACACATGCAAAGTAGTCCTGCGTGATACTACCCATGTAGTTACTTCCCATCAAATTTCTAAAGAAAGCAAGAGTCAAAGAGCCTTAATAGACATTAGCATATTTATCTATGTTAATAGTCTGAATTACCTAATATGTAACAATCAAATGAGCTTCAATCACAGTCTTCCCCATTTTCTACATTGGTTAAGGACATGAAGAAAGATGTCATCAGTTTGAGAGAAGACTTTGGGCGGAAGGGGGGGAAGCAGCTTTATGAGAAAAAACACACACAAACTACGCTAGAAAACGAAGTGTCAGAACTCTTCAAAAAGCGCAGTGTAATTAAAACAGTTTCACTAACGGCTTCTGGGCTGCATTTTAGCCTGCGAGCAAGCTGGCCAAACTCTTCATACTGTAGATAAAACGGAATCTCAGCTAACATTTGGTCAATGCCTTCCTTTATTTTTCCATTTTTAAATCAAAGCATCTAGCTCTTCAGATTCATGAGGACAAATAATACCTCCCAGTGCATCTTAACCCAAAACAAAACTCTCTTCCAAAAACAATGAGCAGGTATTTATTTTCCTACTCATTGTTTATTGCTACAGAACTTGAAAAGCTATTGCTGAAGCTTTCAGTTATCTTGGCTTTTCATTAAAGGGTATGGAGAATATCACCAGAATCATTGTGAAATCAACACTTTCTTTTCGACGTGATAGCCATCTAAAACCAGATGCTTCTTCCAAAAACAACTAGTTTGAACTTTATTGTGTTTGTTTCTTCATGCAGGTGTCAGAGCTTCCACAAAGACATTCATAGCTATATATCTTCAAACGTTACAATGCTACTCTTAACCTTAGTGCCTATTTTCGACTGCTATCAAATCCATCTTGCAGCATACAAAATAGCATAGAATAATTCACTTTGAATGTTAATCATTAAACAGTAACATCATAACATTCTGATTAAGACACCAACCATTTACTATTCACGTCGAGTTCTGCAACAGCTTAAAAGTTAAGCAACATCTCAAAATGTGCTCCAGATCTCTTATTTCAGTTGTCTAAAGGCAGCACTTGGTGGCTAGTTTTTTTTGGAATACACTGGCTTACGTGCCTGATTGAGATTACCAAAAATAGTCTAGTATTGCTTCTTGAGTTCTTGCACCACCACACTCCGCAGGCAAAGCTCAGCAGTTCAGTGTTGCTTAACACTGCTCGTTTTTTCCTCAAAATGTATTTATTCCACCTAGACCTAAAGGCAGGGAGTATTCCGTGTAAGGTTAAAAGCAGTGCAGGTTTATAGCACAAGTAAGGGAGCACTGTTTCTACAGCCATTTCCCTGACGACATCCGCACCACAGACCCAGTCCTCACTGCTGTGTGTAGCTGGGAAGTAAGTTCTTGTGAAGGAAAGGGCAAATATAAAGCCCTCAGCTACACACTTGGTATGCAAAAAGCAGCCTCCGATTGTGATTCTCATAAGGCCTTGAAAAGTTATTTAAAGGAGAGAGGACAGGTATATATATACAAACAACTTCAGCAGGTTGAAAAAATGTCATACAGAAGGGAGGACAGAAATACAGAAACATCTTATAACAAGAACTAGATCCACAGAAGACCATCACAGAGGCTTAAACTTTCAGTGAAAGTCAACAGTTTAGTTTCCTAAAGACCTCTGTGGATCTGCCCTACAAGTTTCAGGCATAAACAATACAATCCCACAAACACTGCATAGCTCAGAGGACGCTACAGCACCGTACCTGTCTGCTACATCCATATCCCCTTCGATCTTGTTGAGTCCTCTCATGATGTTATCAAACTGCTCACCCTGGTAATGCAGCACTTTTGCTGTGTCCTCCAGTCGTTTCTGCGATCCAGTCAATAATCCGGTCAGTTCTTTTCCCTTTGTTGACTGCGAAGCTGCTGCTTCTGCTCCTGCACCTTGGCTTGACAGCAACTGCTCCCTCCAGAAGTGCTCAAGGATGTTGAACACCACATTTCTGCTGGGCTGCAGAGAACTGAACCAGTGCTTGGTGTTCTTCTCTAAGATGGTAAGGGAGCTGAAAATTAAATTCGAAGATTCCTTCTTGATCTCACTGATACTAGAAAGATGGAAGTTGACCAAAAGCTCCCCAGTCTTGTCAGCTGTAAATTTGATCGCAACAGGAGTCAGTGAGAGTCTGCCAGAGACCCATTGTTTGCTGGTGTCCAAGTAGTAAGAACAAGGCCAGCTATGGATACGTATGTCTTCGTTCATCAGCTCGCCGTTCAGATCCTCTTCTACAAGAGCAACACTCTCGAGGCCAGAAGGAGAAACTAGAATAAAAGAAAGGAAAAAAAAAAAAAGCAAGAATCCTTAGCAACATATAAAAGCTGACGTAAGAACACGCTCATAAATAATTAATCCCATCCACAGCTAGCTTCCAGTACTTCCACTGCAACCTTTCAGGTGCGCACCCAAGACAGATTTGGAAATAGCTGCGGATGGGTTACAAAATTTGGCAACCGTTTCTAACCATCCAAATATTTCCTTCAGAAAGGCTCACCCTTTCTGAACAGGACTGTCAGTATTATTGCCCGCTCCATAGCAGCACTGCCTCCCCTTTTTATAATGTTCTCATCATGTTTCAGCACGTGATTTACAACAGCACAAACTTCAAACGACTACTGCATTAATACCCTGAATATTTAATACCTGCTGTGCTCTAAGTGTTTTGGGCAGGGGAGGTGCTTTATAATTAGATTAGTCTATATGTTCACATGCATATGTTCATATTTTTGGGTGGAGGGGAACCTACCAAAAACAGAATCATGAAAAACTTTTAATAACTTTAACATACCCCTTTAACATACCCATGATCACTTACTGAAAAGCGATCATGTGAAAAGTTTTCCATTCCCCACCCATCATCAGAAGCAACTTCCCACAGACCAACAGGTACAGAAGAAAATTCAGAATCTACCAAAATGCAAGCTCGTAAATATATATATCTACAACAATCACAACGAATAACTGGTCCTTCCCCTTCCAGTCTGAGCTATCAACATCCAGGTATGTTACAAACACACCTAGAATGTCTATCCAACATATTCAACAGTGCAGCTGAAACCGAAACCACCACCGACCAGAACTCACAATCATTAAAGAGCAGAAACACCCGGCCACAATCGGACAAAGGCTCTTCAGAAATCGTCACTATCTCAGAGCATCGCTCTTGGCCTCAGGAGAAACTTGCAAAAATACCTACCTTACAAAACTCAAGCGGATACCAGAACTTCTGGTAGAACACCACAGCCAAAAAAACCCCCAAATCCGTAGTATTTCTTCTGTGAAATATTCGTTGTTGCTCAGCTACTATCAAAGATGTTTGGAAATAGGAGTTTGGGAAGAACTGAAAACCACTTAGCCGCGCTGCTGGGAAACCGTGACTGACCCAAGTGGGAGTTAAGATGAAAAAGATGCCACAGTGGCATTGGAAGAGGTGCTGCTGGCCTGGAGCAACTCCGCACACATGATAGCGGAGCAAGCAGCAGCAGAACCAGCAGAGGCTTAAAAGAGCCAGCAGAACTGACTCCGTTCACTCAGCGTGACGGGACACAACGTTCAGGGCAATGGTGATTTCATTGCACCCCTGTGACAGGCCATGTTTTCCTGGGAGCCCGTGATGCTATTTGATGACATAACATTAATATTGTAAGACTTGCTCACCGGTATCTGGGATCCCAGCATGAAAACAAAGAAATGTCATATGCCTGAGGCCTGGCTTGCTTACATCAAATTTGGAACGGTAAATTAAATGAAACATATCTGGAGTGGCATCTCTCCACACTTCCAAAGAGGCTTCTTGTGCCCAAGGGTCAGAGTGTTTCCTGTAACATCTCCTTCAAACGCTACCGTTTTCAGCATGAACACTGGAGACCAATTGCGTTCCACAACTAAGTTCTTTGTGAACACCCATTATGTAATGGTGTTTTAATTACTCACATATTCATTGTCTTCTCAAAGCCTTTGATGTTTCATAGCACAATTTACAGATTAGTACCATTACATTATCTCAAGCTGTTCTGCTGCTCCTATGTCGCAATAAATGAGAAGAGCTCCACCACAAAATCCCCAGTTAGGTTGACACTGACACTAATTACACCTTTTTACTTCAGTACGATCTGTTCCCCTTAAGGAAATGTCTATAATCCTAACGCAAATGAAAAAGCTAACAGTCCTTTTTCAGGTAGCACTGGTGTGAGTTCCAATAGCACACACCAGAGATCTCCAAGTGCCTTCAGGCTGCTGCATCATTAACATCCCTTAAATAGAGCGCTCTAACTCTGCGTCCGGTTCCAATGACTTCTTTTATTAAATGTATTCAAAACTTCAGTATTAGTGAGATAAGGACTACTCACGGTATGTCATAATCCACAAAAATCTTTACTTTGATTTTCATACCTTATTTCCATGGCATTATGAGTTTTAGTGATACAAATGGGGAAAAAAATAAGCCACAACTTTACAAAGCAGCTGGAGTTTAAAGTGAAAATTCTCAATCTGTTTAGTCATAATAAAACTGCAATCCCGTGAGCAGTCATCGCTCTCTGCAGTTTACTGTGGGCCAAAGAGAGGGGGGAAAAAGCCCACAGAAACTTGACTTAAATGAGTAGCTATAGCCCAGAAAACAACGACAAGTTCTAGGAAATATGATTTCTAACAATTTTATCAATCATTTGCTACATAAATTCATGATTTGGAGAAAGAGCTAAAGCTCTGACCTCATTTCCTCCATCTAGAAAAGGAAGGTAATTCCTCTAATGCAGCGAGGTTGGATCAGACAGATCTGATAAAGAGTTTTTTTTCCAGACTGACTGGGCTTTGTGAGTAGCCAATGGTTCTAATTTGTATTTAAAAGTTATTTTATTTCTGTCACACAGAAGAAAAACAAAGTTATTGACAAAAAAACAGCGAGAAGAAAAATACTTTTTAACGATCAGTCAAATGTGACCGCAAAGGAACAAACAGCATTCCCCAGCAGGCTTTTACAGGATACTTTACGTGGAAAATGTTTCTAATATGGATACACAATTATGTGCTAATAACGGTGTACTTTCTGCTACCATAACTGACAACTATGTCAGTTTAAACAACAGGGTAAGTCACATTAGTGTTGAAATCAATGGCAGGTGAAACTAAATCATGCTATAGCTTTATTAATCAAGATTTACAAATTGCAAATCCAGATCAGGTTTAACTGAAACTGCCTAGGTTTGAACTAAATATGATAGTAAACAGACAATAAACAAAAATAAACATCTTTTATTACACCCTTAAACTCCTCATACCCTAAACATACTGCAAAGGCAAATGAAATTTACTGAAAGAGCTCCTATCAGACCCAGAAAAAAAAATAATAATTAAAAAAGAAAATCCATCAGCAGCCTCCCCGCCTATCAAAACAGTGTGTCACATTCAGGAACACAATAGATCTCAGCTCATACAAAGCAGCTGACATCCCCTTCCCCTACCCTGTGCAAGTCTTTTTCAGAAACTGGTGTAAGTAGTAACCTCACCAATATCAGCACACGGCTCACAACAAGCTGTTGCCCTGAGATGGTATTTTACAACTAGTATATATAAATAACGATTAAACCAAGACACCGAAAGATTATACGTCTTGCAGAAGATCACAAGGGAAACCTGGAAGCAAACACAGGTTTCTCAATGCTCACGGCTGGGACAGGCACCGCAGAACATAACGTCATCTGAAAAACAACCCCTAGACCTTGCTAACAGCAACAGCCACCTCCTGCCAGGCACAGCCGTATTGGGGAGGCAAGGAAAAATTGTAAACAAGCAAATGACTCTTAAACTTTTGTAAAATCTCAGCCTACAGCCCATTTTCACACGCTAAGAGTTCCACAAACTCTCTCCAACCACCACCAGCTCCCATCAAGACAGCGTTTTCCCTCAAGCCTGCTCTCTACCGTTAAGGTTGTGAAAATATGATTTCTGATGCAGTCTCACAACTGTGCCATAAAGAAAGATCTTCCTAAACCGTATCTCAAGCTCCTTACCTCTATCTGTAGACGCAGAACTCTCAGGCAGCCCTTTGGGGGCTGCTGCCTTTACAGAACTGTCCATCCGTAGTATTTCCTTCTCTTCAAAGTCCAAAAGAGCAGGTAAAAAAACCTGAAGCTAAAGCAAAAATCCTACTATGCCAGTTACCACAAGGGAAAATATATAAAGAATAGAGAACGTACATTTAACCCTGGATCTAAGAGGGTTAGTCCTCTCGGCCCAGGAGAAGAAACGAAGCAGTCACTTGACCTGTGTGTGTATATATGTGTACATGCCTTGGGTCATATGATTTTTGACTCACCTGAGAGCTTAAAGGCTTTGCCTGACAGTCAGCTCCTTTCTGTGCCTGAGGCCAGAATTTCCAAGCAGAAAACCTCTTTGGTAATTAAATCCATTCATCATTCCAGCACATTTTTCCCCAATATAATGACGTTTTAATCAGCATCAGATCTGCATGACTTTTTTTTTTCTCCCCTTCTCTCTCTCTCTCAGAGAAGACATTCAAACCTTGCAGAAATACAGATGTATGTAAGGATAACCAAGACTGATTTTATTCAACAATGAAAACAGTCATCAACGGCACAGAACATCGCTACTGTTTATGAACATTCAGCAGCATACTGTAATTTAACACAAGACTTCAAGGAGTTCGATTAAAACACATGAGAAATTTTACCAGCGTTAAACACACGAAAGAAGAAACGGTCACAACCGTTTGAAGTTAGCTGGAAAAAGGCATTAAATATGTACTTCACCTATGACGCTCATACATTGTGTCGTATACTTTTCTAATGGGTATTAACCTGTGATTATGGTTTCTGAGCTGCTAAAAACCACCATCCTATTACTTTTGTACCTCTCTTCTCCTTGAGTCAATATTAAAAGAACTTCTTGGTCTCATCTACTGGCAGCACTTTGCCTTTTATAAAACAGAACTTTGCCTCTGCTTCTCTCTCGTTAGCTCGTACAGCACCTACAGGGAGGACACCTCACCATACTTGAGCTGTGCAATGAAAAGCAACGTTAAATATATCAACTTCATCTCTGACGTAAACCGTGAGCTCACCGCTAAAGACCCAATAGCTCAGTTATTGTCCTTCAAAATGAAAAGACTTTTTTTCCCCCCCCATATTTCCCGAAGTTTTGACAATCACATTTCAGAAACGCTGAGCCTCCTGCCACTTACACAACTGGTTTACTGCAAGGAACTATTACTTGAAATTCAGGATCTCTCTCCTCTCCTCC